TCTCTCTCTCTCTCTCTCTCTCTCTCTCTCTCTCTCTCCCTCCCTCCCTCCCTCCCTCCCTTCCTCTCTCCATGTGTATGGAGATTGACACAAGGAGTCATATGACTTTTCCTTTCCAATGAAATGGTGTATTAAAATATCATCTATTTGTTTTCCGTGTGTATGACTATAGCCCATCCAACTTAATTTACATCCTTCTCCAACTTGGCTGCTTCTAGATTGATGGGGCTATACTTTTCTTCCAGACCAGTGGAGAAGAATTTGGAGACTGGACAGAGAATTCTAGAGTCTTCATACCAGAATTCTTCCAAGCCTTATTTTCAGTACTCCTTTTAATTGGAAAGCAGAAGGAGCAGACGGGGTTATTTGATATGTTAAATGTATTACACTTTGAGAGATAATCTTTGCTTGTTATCCTCCATCATAAATGTTCCCCTTTTCACTTTTTGCCCACCTCCAGTGATTTTAAAAGGATATAATTTCAAGAAAAAGCTACTATGAGTTAAAAATTATTCCCCACCCATCATTACTTTTTATGTGCATAGAAAATGCTATCTGGAATTATTACTTTTTTTTTACAAAAAAGAAAAGACAAAATGAGAAACTTTTTCTCACTAGCTTTCTAACCATCTGTTTAGTTAATGTGATTTGATCCCAGCCTGATTTTCTGAGAAGAAAAGGTCAAGGAAAAAAAGCGGCTGTATTTCCATTTCTTCTTATTGTCAGGAAATCTAAATTAGTCCTGATTATACAAATGGGAATGATGTCAATGAACTTGGATTTTTTACAAGAATATTTTATTCTATTAATATTTTTTAATTGGCTGAGTTCAGTTCTAATATTATTTGCCACATTTTACATGTAATTGCATATGTATATGTTTCCTAGCTACATGCCTTCTGCTAATGTCCCCCCCCCCCTGCTGGCATCCCCCTCCCCCCTCCCCAATAAAAGCTATTGGAAATTACTAATTCAGTTATGTGCAAAAACAAATAGCATATTTTTTTTTAAAAAAATCTATCCTGCCTTTTTAAATTACAATTTGCTAGTAGTGGAAATATAGTGCATATGACCTGGGTACAATCCACACTTTTGAAAATTTTCAATATTTTACAAGGAAAAAAAACAATTTTATGATTCAATGTTGGGTTAAGTATCACAAAATCAGGTTCACCTGCCATTGCAATTCAGTAAAACAATACAGCTAGAACAGTGATGGGTTTCCAATTTTTTTACTACCGGTTCGCTCGTGTGCGCACGCATGCACCTTCCGCACAGAAGCATCTGGGCAGGTGGGCGGAGCCTCCCCCCACCACTACTACCGGTTTGCCTGAGCCCAGCCGAGCCAAACCAGGAGCAACTCACCTCTGAGCTAGAAAAGTATAGAAGTGATCCTGGTGTCACCCATTGGGCTTAATGTGAGCAGAATAACAAATAACATTGGTTTGTATTAGGCTACAATTTGGATTGTCTCATGCCAAAGGCAAACTCTTTGATTTTGGGTTAGTACATTCTTGAAACTTGTGTAAACCCTTGTTTCTGAGTAGTGTGATTTGTGAACTCAGTCACTGGGATTCCCCCCCCCCCCGCAAATCATAATTAAAAGAAAGCATTGCATGTTCCTAAATCTTGGTGAAAGGAATTTAAGTAATAATTCATTGCTTTGTGTTGTTGAAAATCCATAATTAGGTTCAGTAGAGCTGTGATTAAACTCTAATCAATCAACCAAAATGAAAAAAAAAATGAGTGAAGATTATTTCAAAAATTGTCATTAGATCTTAATAATGGGCTTCTTATATCAAGTCAAGACTTAACTTACTCCAGCATCTTTCTTACAGATGTTTTAAGGGTAACCAGAAGCAGGAGATGGTAATAAAACCCTCTTCTATTTTTTATTCCCTTGCAACTGATATATGGGAACATGGTGCTTCCAAATTAGAAGTATATGATAGCCCTTGATAAACTTGCACAAGTGGTCCTCAATTTAAAACAGTTCATTTAGTGTCCATTCAGAGTTGCAATGGCACTGAAAAAAGTGACTTAGAACCATTTTTTGTTTACAACCTTTGAGGCATCCCCATGATCATGCGATCAAAATTCAGATTCTTGGCAACCGGTTCATAGTTATGATCATTGCTATGTCCCAAGGTCATGTGATCACTTTTTGCAAACTTCTGACAAGCAAAGTCAACCAGGAAGCCAGATTTACTTAACAACCAGGTTGCTAACTTATCAAATACTGTGATTCACGTAATAACTATGGCAAGAAAGGTCGTTAAATGGGACAAAACTCACTTAACAAAAGAAATTTTGGGCTCACCTGTGGTCATAGGTCGAGGACTTCCTGCATTCTGTTTATTTATGCAGTCCTTCTTAAAGCCATTTGGTTGGTAGCCACCACCATCTCAAATGATAATAATAATTTGAGGGTTATGCCCTTGGTTATGCTGGATTATGCACTATGTGAATAAGGACTTTCTTTTGACTATTCTGAATCTGCTTCCAATGTGGGTCATTTGTGTTTTGAGAAAGTTAGTAAACTTTTCTCTAACTATTCTTTTTACAGCATGTCATGCATGATCCTTCTTGGTAATGTATATACAATTATTATTAATGCTATGCCCTATTGTGTTATTTATTGTTGCATTAGATCCAGCTATTGCATATCTAAAGCTTTTAGTCTCTGTTATTTTTCTTCTTCATTGGTATTGTGCTAGACTGAGCTTTTGTAATCTCATTTTTCAAAATTTCCCAAGCTTCTTGAGTTGTTTTCCCCTTGAGGATTCTCATCCATGGAATTCTTCCCAAGCTCTCTCTTAACTGAA